TAGAGAGGCGTGGCGGGTAGTATATATATATATATATATATATATATTCTAGAACGTTTGGTTGGCCATGAATACCGCTGGTATAACCTCTTGTTTGAACAGTCAACTCTATCTAGTACGGCGAGAGGTTATTCAGAAGGGCCAGACAAGCGGGAAACAGTTCGGTACTGAGATTGTGGGAGCGGTGGAAAGGCGCAGAATCTTATGAGAGACCTCTCAAAGAAACAATGCGTTCGGAATGGTGGATTCAGATAGCGATAAGCTATCTCAACTACCCCACCCATATAATCCAAGCTTTCTAGTAGGCTTTAAAGTAGGCTTTTAAGTAGGCTTTAAAGTAGGCAGGAGTACATCACTGTTTGCAGTGAGCTAGATCGTCTCTAAAGTACAGTAAACAGCGGCTACAAGCTCACATGAATACTCCCAATTTAATCCCCTGGTAGGTGTGCGTGTACCTCTACCAAGCTAGCAACTACAGAAGCGCTACAGATACCAAACACTATCATAATACGTAGCGAATATCTAATGCTGGCACAGGATAACTGGACAAATCCTGAAATAAAGCACCATTGCTACAGTAAGCGTTGCACATACCCCAACATAGCACAGACACACAGCTAGCAACTACAGTCGGCGCAAAAGACTCTGAACATTACCAAGAAGTGCCTAGCATAGTCTTTCAGGTACGCGGGATCGTGGACACCGCAACTGTCAGAGCCCTCCATAGCCCTTAAATCGAAGAATCGCCTCCAACACAGTTGTAATATGCTCAGCATTGCTGGGAAGAAAGAAGTATGAGAATCAATCAGTGCTCAGTCCCATGTGTGGGATGTAATTTGTACACCGCACATGCAGAAACGAGTTTTGATTCTCATATGTACATCCACGCACACTCACATTATACACACCACACACAGAAACACAAAATTAACTATCAAAGTAAAACACACACACACAGACACGCTCACACATATTTTTACATTGCAATTGACTCATGCTCCACGCAGGCGCGTTTCCAGGGCCAAAGCAGATGGGGGCGACCTCTACCCAGGCCTTAACTATGATAGGATGAATGGCTCTGATGAACGCCAGCGTTTGCGCTGTAGTGGCCAGATCGTTCCGTCTCAGTGAATTCCATTCTGCGTCGTCGGTCTGACTATAGCAAAAAAAAAATAGCTTTAGATGTATATCAATGTATATGTAAAGTTATCATAGAATATGATTATATATATATACATATATATACATACATATATATATATATTATATTCGAATGAATGTGCCTTATGCCTCCTAAATAAGTAGAATACTAGCTACGTACAAGCTAGATATGGATATGTATGAGGTGCAAGAGCAAACACATGATCCCAAAACACCCACAACCTACTCCCACAATATCACACCTGCTGTCGGTAGCGGCCGGGGTGTTATTCTTTGTACCGAACTCTGATGCGGTGTCATCGCTACGGAGATCGTCTCCCTTGGCATCTGCGCCCAGCAGTTCAAATAGAGGTCTGTTTGCGGAATATGTGTATGTGCAAGTACAGTTGATATGACTATATGTATGTACACAACTTGAATATGTACATGTGCAAGTACAATTTCGATGAGAAAAAATATATTCATAAAAACACATTTGTATATATATGTACACGAGTACAGGTTC